GTAGTTTAAAGTATTATTGCTAAAAGATAATAAGTTTAGCATCTAATTATTTTTAAAAGTGGTTTTAATCAGTATAAATAACTAAAATCATGATTAAACTTTAAAGGTTATTCTAAACAAATTTTTATCGACTTTAGAAAAAGTGAAAGTGGGTACTCTCTAGCTGTACACTAGTTACAACAGTGGACAACTGTAATGGTGTTTAATTTGAATAAATTATTATACATGAAAACTATTTTGAGTAAGGTGATCTATCAACCTATTACCTGCTGCTCATCATTAAGTACATATATAATAGTTTTATTATTGTTGATGAATTAAATTCGACTTTTTGGGACATAAAAATATTTTGTGGCTTATTTTTCGGGTGTCGCCGAAGTGCGTCCCGATAATCATATCTTACTGCTGTAAGCCCTATTGCGTCCGTGATAATATCATAAATATTTTGTGAGTATATCCCATGTTAGTCCGCATATTATTGCTAACAATATTTTGTCTTTATGGATAAAATACATTGATATCTTACAATATTACACTGCTTGCATTTACACTATAGTCCATACGTAGAAATCTATTATTCATAACTAGTCTTTGACAACCATGTGCAGTATGTGTAGTAGATGTATATACCTTCTTTAGTTTGTTTAAATATATTTAATTAACATTTTATAAATTTCTAGATATGATTATGTGAAAATCATGGCACTGAAAAGTCAATAAAAATAATTTAAATATTAACCAACAGTTTAAAATGGATGTAAATCTAAATAATTAAATAAACATAATAATAATAAACTTTATAATAAATATAATTAAATAACTAAATATTTTTGGGGTGTAAACCAGTTCATCTCCTCGTGGTCCACCCTGGGTAACTCTAAATGAACTGGGACGCACTCAGGTGAGACCTTATTCCGAACGCATTCGGAACAGTAAAAGAACATTTTAAGGACGCACTCAGGGTGCCCAATTTTTCACTAAAATTCGAAAAGATTTTAAAATAATAGTAATGTCATTATTACTGTTGTTATATCGATTAAATAGTAAAGGCGACGACCGAAAGATCATCTGATCTACTTATTATAGTACCTTATAAATCAAAATAATTTTAACAAAATAATTGATCAGCAATTATCAATTATAAATTACTAACCAATGTCTGTATCAAATGTAATTATAATAACAAATTTAAAAGAATCATTGTAAAATCGTCAGTTCCAAACGGCTCTCGTCTATGTTTACTTATTTCTAAACAGCTACTGTCGAAAAATTGTAAGGTATATAATTGTATGATTGTAAACTCTACAATAATTATTAGTCATATGCACGCCTGTTTGATCGAAAAACAAAACTCGTCAAAAATTATTTACAGTTTTCATAAATAAAATAGCACACATAGACTATATAAAATTGTAATAATAAATTTACCCCATATATGATTTTTAGTATTACTGTTATACAAACATTTTATATTAGTAAAGTATAAGATAATTCAGATAGTCAGTACCTACACAATATTACAGTTAAAAAAAAAAAGCATATTATATGAATAAACATGAGAAGGGAGACCAGCTGCTAGTGTGGGAACGCTTAGACTTTGAAGAGATAACCTAATTACAATATTATTATTCTGTATAGAAATTATTTTTAAAAAAAATGTATACAACCTAATAGTTAACAAATATAACTACTATTTAAAATTTTAAAATCATAATGCAGATAAAACGATGAGATCACTTATAAGAACTTTTGTCTTTTAATATTTTTGGGGTGACATTTATACCTACTAAATTATTCGCTATAGGTGTTAAATAAGTATACAAATTGTATAATACAATACTATGTAATTTATTTTTTTAGGCTTCAACAGTAATGACTATTGTCAGTAGACGGTTTTTTGCTGTGGATGTGGGGAAGGTACTGTTTTTGGAACACGTTTATACGTAGTGAGGATTTGTCACTAAAAACCCGGATGGGTGACCATTGACCATCCAGGAACTAACAACATCGGCCAATGCTTAACTTCAGAACACTAGTGACTGAGGTTAACCACTATGTCATACCAGGCTATATAATTTATTTTATAATTATGTATAATTTCATATACTTGTCACTGTAACTTAGCACTTAGCAAATAATCACTGATAGGTATCGCAATCGAAAGTTCAATCTAAACATTCTAAATTAAAAATGAATGTCTATAAATTTTCAATTAGAATTATAATCTTATAAAACGCCGAAATTGAGTATAAGTGTAACAAAAACAAATAAAATCGATTACGAGTGTGCTTGTTACATCACAGTGGTGCAAGGTCAGCCTACGATAAATATGAGTATGTACACATATAGATATTTGATTTAATTTTTAATATTTATACATTTTTAATTTAAGTTACAATTTTTTTTTCACTTTTAATTCGTATTATAATTTATAATCAACAATATTTTTATATATTAATATTATACACGAGTTTAAATGTTGTCGTTCTGTTATGTTTTTGATACAATTCTTCTCGATTGAAGTTAGGACTTAGTGAAATCATATCATAATGATTTCCTTAGTATTAATCTTAAAGCCTGTATCTACATAAACAATAGATTTTTAGTAATGAAAGTAAACCATTTACTTATGCAATTATATTTGATATACTGCAGGTATTTCTGAGTTATCTCGATTACCGTAATTTTTAAATAAAAAGTACATCTATAATCGTATTAAATTTTTAATATCTAATTAATATTCATTTAAATATATTTTATAGTAATAATTTATAACTTATTAGCAGGGCTTATGAGTCCATACATTTCAGCATTATTAATCTCGCTAAGTTATATTTAATGCTAGATGACATAGAAATCCATTTTGAGGTAGGTATTATGGTTAAGTAAAGTTTTATTTTGTATATTGCATATTTAGCGTATTTTTGGCCAAAATCTTATAAAAAAAAAATTGCAATAAATTATATTTTTGTATACTATATATATAAAATAAATGGAAAATGTCACAACCGTAAATTTATTAAAATTAAAACATTTTAGTTACTATTTCATTTGATTAATCAATATATCATGCCTGCGTTAAACAATTAGTGGAATACATTCTAAATGAAATAGTCTTATCTCCTTGATACTTTTATAATGGTTATTATTTTCGACTATTTTAGTCTTTCTTATTTTAATCTGCATATTTTAAGGCATATTTCATTAAAGCCCTACTTATTAGGTATTAAGTATTATTTATCGGGTAAAAATAATTGATTGTAATTATTAAGAAATGTATGTAATACACATATTGCGATGATATAGCGATTACAACATAAAAACGTAAATTTATAAAATAAATTCACGATTTTATTTAATTAACTATATATCCACAGTTTATTATCAGGTTAAATGCGAGGTAGTCTTGGAAATATTTGGATTATAACATTTTTTCTAAGCCATGTATAATGTATAAGTATTAACACCACAATATCGCCAATTTTAGATAGATATGATTCCACGATTTACCCAAATTCCACATGCTAATAATTAGGTAGAATTAAACATAATTATCAATTTTAAAAGTAGTAACATCTATAATGGATTTTGCACATTGCCATCCATTTTTGTTTCATTTTGTCAATATTCATAGTTATCTTCGTTATGTCTCTACAATGATTAATGTTTTATATCTTTATATGTAGATTAAAATATGTTCAATACATTTTGATTAAAAGCATAACGTATACAAAGACTATAATGTACTTAAGTAAGTAAACGTTAAACAACAATGTTTTTACGTGATGCATTGTCGTCATATGCCGATTATGATAATTATTAATATAAATGTATAAGTATAATATAAAAATTAAAAATATTTAAAAAAATCAACATTTTATTTAATAACCACTATTGCAGAAAATCCGCTAGGATCGTGAAAGTCATCCGAAACTTTTTGTTTCGCGTACAACCTATTATAGAATGAGCCCCATAATAGAATTTACCTACACTACACGCAGTACAGTATGTTTTAAACAAGTTGCAATATTTATTTATAGTTACAATTTCAGTGAAAATAAACAATTGAAGAACAAACATTTTCACTTCAGATTTTCAAATCGTAAATAAAACATTACATCAGTCAACAATTATTAAATTGGTGAGAAACTTGATTTAATTATTTTCCAAGAACAATTTTCACGATCATTCAACATAACTTAAAAATAATAATATCTATACTTAAGCGAATGGTTATTGATGACTTTTTTACTAAGCCAAAAAAAAAAAAATTAATAATCAGAAAAGAACTAAAAGAACATTTTAATATTTTAAAATAATAAAGTATGTTCATTTTCATTGAAATAACTGAAACATAACTTAAATACTTCATTAAATAATTAGATAAGTACCAATAACTATTCAAAAAAGAAAATATTTCATTTGCGGCTATATTTCATATTGTTATGTATATTAAATAGGTACTTAGTAGATACTTAATACTTACTGTTAAAATACAAAGTAGGTATACATATAGGAAATATTCTTACAAAAAAAAATGCTTTCACTTTTAATATTAATGTAATAACTTTTGTAATGTTCACCAGTTAAAATTTTATAAATATTAAATTTATTTATATTTAAGCGTATAAGTTATTTTAAATTTATTGACTGATAATCGTTAAAGGATTGCTATTAAATAACATTCAAATAATTCTAATAATTAAAAAAACGATTAGTTAATATTCTTAAATAGTTATACTTACAGGTTAAATAAGTCGATAAAATATATATAATGAAATAGAGCTCTTGATTTAATATTAAAATGTATCTTATAAATTAAACAATTTTTTACACAAAAAATATATGCAATTATAATATAAGTCGTAACATTTTTTAGGCAAAATCATGAGATTTAGAATATTTGTTAGCATTTAGGACACATACGTAGTGTAGTCTCAGAACTCAGTCTGTCAGTCTATAATACAAACGTACAAAATAAGATAGTGAAGTAGTTAAGTAGTTTTTATATTAAAATTAAAGTGAATCAACTTATAACCAAATTGAAAAGTAAGTACATTTTGTGTATTTTACATTAGTATTTTTCGATATTCTAAATTTTAAGCGAGTTATAGACAGAGCATAATATAAAAAATTGCCAGAAATCAGACTATTCAAAAGACAATAAAATGGATGTTCAATGGAAAAATAACAATAAGACGGCCAAAATAAGGACAACTAAACAGAGATTCAGAGTTATGAATGAACCTGTAAATTTTAGGAGATAGAAATAAAAATGGGCGAAAAATTTGTTATGAAAAACTTCTATTAATCCATAGACGAAGAATAAAAAGAAGCATCATATGATTATTATCGATATGAGAATGTAAAATATCGTAATTTAAAATTTAAACATAGAAAAAAACTGACACGAAAAACATTTTGTAATATTTTTACATTTAATATTCACAGCATCAATTCGCTCTAATATTAAAACTAATAATACAACATTTAAACGGCGGGTCTAACGTTCTCTTAACTCTTAAGATCTGAAAATTGATTACAAACTTTATCATTCATCTATTACAACAAATTTATCTATTTTATATTTATCCTGACAATTTCTAAAGATGTTGAAAATTTGGTTTTGATCAATATTATTTAATGTTTATTTGTTTTTTTTCAATTTACTATTATTACTATGCTTTTTATAATAAAAATTACCAACGTACCTATTTTGATTTGATTTGTTACACAACCAATCTATCATCAATGTATAAAGTATAACTTATATGATAGAAAAATACATAGAAGTATATATAAATACATGTCCAAAATGTAGGTTATCCAACTTGAGTTTTTCCAAGTCTTTGCGTAGATCATTTATGCATACGTAAATAATATGTGCATATATATGTTCATGTCATGGGTGTCCACATAGGAGGGGGGTACAAGACAGGGCACTTACCCTCCCTAGAATTTTAAATTTGTTATCTAATTGTAATGATTTAATGTTATACTGACGAAGCATAATAATGTTCTATAAATACAATGTATAATAACAATACCTAAATGTAATAAATACGAAACATAATAATGTACTATAAATAAAATGTATAAAAAAATGTGTATGTTATGAACTACAAACCTATTTTTAATTATACTTAGTAATTTACTAATGTACATAATGATATACGTAATTAATTTTAAATTTGCAAGCAATAAAAATAAAATGAATTAAAATATAATACATTATAATAATACTTTGATGCTTATCATGCAAAGATATAAAAATAAATTGTCCGTTCATTATATACACGAATTATGTTATACTATAATGATGTATGTTATATGAATTACCTAATAAAATTCATCAGATAAATGTTCTTAGTTAAAGTCAGTAATTCAAATTTAATCATAGAGCTAATAATCAATATTTAACCATGAAATAAAACTGTACACACTTAACAATTAACCGGTCTTAATACTAAGGTGTTTTCAAAATTAAACAAAAAAACGTGTATCAACGTTTGGTGAACAGCCAAATTAACTACCGACCTTCAATGTAAGTTTATAACATTAAATAATAATAAATAATAATGACGTATTGACAAACACATACTCTTTTATTTTAACAAGCAATTTACATTATTCTTATTATTTTGTAGGTTAAATAATAAGTTACCAATAATGATGAAAAGAAAAGTATTGATAATTCCACTTGGATTAGTTTTGATGACAATTCTAAAAGGGTAAATTCATTTTCATAAAATTTTAAATTTAACGATTTTTTTTCCCATAAAAGTAACAGCTATCAAAGTATTTTATCAAAACAATGTATAAATTCAATTAAATTGATTACACTAGAGCGAAAAGTGATACACTTGTGATTGATACGGATGCTGGTGCTGATGATGCAATGGCAATTTTACTTCTACTATCAGCGTGTGCAAACAACAACACAAATTTCGATATTGTGGCAATTACTTGCACCTATGGTAACACCAATTTGAAAAATGTCGAAAAAAATGTGCTTAAGACATTGACAATCGCAAATGAATCAAAGGTAAACAAGATAAACAATTATTTATTGACATGAATTTTAAAGCAAGTGATTAATATTTTTTTATAGATTCCAGTTTACAGTGGTGCTTTTAAACCTCTCACTCGTAATCATACATCTGATAATTTCTTTGGCAATGATGGATTTGGTGATTTTGAATTCAATCAAAAAATTATTGGTAATATTGACAGATCAAAGCATGCAGCAATTGCATTAATTGATTTAGCTTATAAATATCCTGGTGAATTGAGTATACTTGTACTTGGGCCAACAACAAATATCGCGCTTGCCATATCACTTGATCCAAAATTTGTTCATAAAGTCAAGCGATTTTATGTCATGGGTGGTAGTGTTACTGGAAATGGGAATATAAGTCCAGGTGTTGAATTCAATTTTGGCTCGGATGCAGAAAGTAATTTTATACTTTTTAATTCAACTCGAGGAGAAGTTAGTTTATTACTACCCTGGGAGACAAATTTATCAATTAATATATCATCGGTAAAATATGCATAATTAAATATTACCTACTTTAAATAATTTATCTATAACTTATTTTTTGTTATAGTCATGGAGAAAAAATGTATTAGGTGGTATCAATTCGAAATTTCTGAAATTTTTAAATAAAGCAGAATCAAAAATTACAGAATTACCAACTTGGCAACCTTGCGATTCTTTAATAGCAGCAGCAATTTTGTGTCCAAAATTGATTAAAAAGTCGTTTGTTACAAATATAACACCAATTATAGAAGGCGAAGCACGTGGTGGAATACTAATTGATTATTCAGAAAACTCTCACAAGCCAAAAAATGTTGAAATTATTCAAGAAGTTGATGTTGAAAAATTCCAAAAAATTCTTCTATCATATTTATCATAAATTTAAAAAAATGTATTAGTCTTTTTTATAAGCCTGCAGTTTTTCTATCAAATATGGATTAATTGAAATATCAAAAATTTTAATACTGATTAATTAATTATTAATATCAATTATTGTGAATATTTATAATTAAAGTTATCTGTAAAAATATAAAACTAACATACACTGTATATCTTTTACTTTCAAAAATCCATTATAAATTATTATACATCTTATTAAAATAATCTCCGACTTAAAATATTTTTTTAAATTTTAAAAATTAATAGGATATTTTATTTCATAATCAATTTTTTTTTATACAATATATCTTTTTTACATTTAAATACGCTTTATTAATATTGTATAAAATATACTCTAATAATTAACATAGTGTATCATGTAAACCAGGTTACCAGAGTAAGTCAATTTTAGCCTAGAATAGTGCATTTTAATCTTTTTAACACCGTGACCGACATGACCCAAGTAAAAAATATCATATAATAAAAATAACAACTGATAATATAAACACTTGGTGAATAATTCAATTATCTATAGTTGTTTGATTTTAGATTATAAAAAAATAAAGAAATCAATTTTGTTAAAATCTGGTTTACGAGTAGCATAAATATTCCTGTTTTTTACAAAAAAAAAAAATTTCTAAGTATTTCTCAATGTAGTATAAACATTTAGTGCAAATTTTAAGTGTATATAATAATGTTGATAATTCATTTTTGAATTACAATAAAATATCAAAAATCGTTAGAGGATAAATAGTTATTTTACGAGTGAATATATCCAATACCGTAAAAATTTAGCTCCAAACGCTTGCAAAATTTAAGAAGAACCTGCTTATTTTAAATTTTCAAATATTGGATATAAATTTTTAATAACAAAATAGTTATCAAAAATAAATCGAAAATGTCATTACCTATTTTAAATATATTTTGAATACTAAATTATTTGTTTATAAATTGCCGATATAAACACTAAAAATTACAATTATCTACAATTATGAATTGTTTTGAAATTATAAAAAATTAAAGAAATAAATTTTGTTAGAAACTAATAAAAATTTCCTTTTTTCCTAAATTTATTTATTTATTTATTTTTTTTTGTTTTTTCTGATCACTAAGAAAAGTTATGGGATTTTTTTATCTCCGGAGTACCATATAAAACCAATTAGAAACCAATCCCAAAGTTCAAAATCGCAGCATTTTTAATACCCTAAAAAGGGAAGTCAAACACAAATAAAACCGATTATTGTAAAATCAATACATTCTTATAGTTCCGCTCAGAATCTAAAAATAGTCAACTTTATCTCTTTTTTTTTCTTCATTATTTTTAATAGATCACTAATTTCTGGAAAATATTCTTCTAATTGTAAAGAAAATTAATGTTTTCACTTTAATTGTTTCAAAAATTCTTAAGATTAATTAAGATTAATGTCATTCTTAAATAATTGTAAACTTTTCTCGCCTAATCAATTTAACCTTCACTCAAATATGTCTACTGTTGATCATCTTATATTAATATCTAATACTTCTCATTTCATACACAACAATTTAAATGATAAATTCATACTAAATTTTATCGATTTAAAGAAAGTATTTGATCGATTCTATTATCCTTGACAGTTACAATAACACAAAAAAATGGGAAGGAGACCGATAGCAAATAATCGTGTAAGGCGGTACACATTATATTATCTATTTCACAATTATTTTGATTTCGTATTTTTCAGACGAACATGTAGGTATTGGCGGATATCGATTATAGTGCAGGACTACATAGATATCAAATGGGCTGATACCGAATTGGTTCCCGAGCTCCAACTCCATGTGCCGAATTGGTTTCCGTTAGAAAAAGGTATTTTATTAAGGTAAGCCGAATTGGTTCCTATTCAAAAAGGTATTTTATTAAGTTGAGCCGAATTGGTTTCCGTTTATTTACGCACATTTTCCTTCTCAATTTTACAAACTTAAGACCGTCAACTAAAAAGTAGGCTTGGTTAAAAATGTGCGTTAATGTGTGTTTTAAAAAAAATGATATAATATATACAATTTTAAATTGTTGATTTGGAAATCAACTATAGTCATCACTTTTAGGTGTAGGTACAAAATATTAAAATTAAAATAAATAATAGTAATTATAATAAAAGTTAAAACTTGGCCCGCGAATTTTTTTTGAAAACATATTTACTAACTGCTATAGACTATAGAGTGTAACCGTGTAGGTATATTTATATTTTATACTATCTAATTTATATCTTGTTCCAATTATTAAAAATTAAAAATTACCTGTACACAGACGGGAACCAATTCGGCTCGACCTAATAAAATACCTTTTTTAAACGGGAACCAATTCGGTTACTTCCATCAAATGTTGGACATCGATACGACTTATCGTTACCCGCAGATGACAGTGACTGCGGTGGCACCTGCACTGACACAGATTTGGCCAAGAATCGGCGGAACGTGTGTCCTCGACATCTTGAAATGCAAGTGAAGTTACGGACAGTTGTCAGACGCCAAGACGTAATTTATTGATACGGGCCGCATGCGTTTTCCAGACGCATCAGTGTGCGACATCACCAATCGACCATCCGAATTTGGCCATTGGGGCACTGGGGCAATAACGACATATCGGGTTTGAAAACCACTTTGGTGATTCACCGAATTTTAATCCCGGCTTCCAGTCGGATGAACACAAACGGCCGGCTGCTATCCACGCGTTACAACTGTTGCACTCCTTTGCAAATGCACTTGCACTTACCTGAGTCTCTAGTCTCTACCATCGCCCTCCGTCACCGTCTATCAAAGTGCACAACATCGCACAAGTCGTTCTTTCAGTCCGTCGCGTGCTCACAACTCTATGTCCAACACTGCATAATCATTCGTCCGCCAGGGACCGGATGAAGTAATGTGAATATAGTGATAACCGCAGTCGCCAGAATCGTTTAATTCACACAAATGTTATCGGTTCTTTCTTACTTTTATCCATATATCCTGTCAGAGTAATTTTTAAGTATTTTTGTTATTGTCTTTGCTGAATTAATCCTTATTTGATGATTGTTATAAAAATTACTTTGGTTATATTATCATGTATCATATTAATTACATATTATTCTTGTGTACACAAAAAAAAACTGTTTATAATTCAATCTTTTATTATTCATATTGGCTATTGCATGTACCTACATGTTTTATTTTTCGAGTTAAAATGGTCAAAATCTGACAAAAATACTTAAATATTTAACGTTTTACTGTAAAAACTACCATCTAATTAAAAAAATTTAAGTGTAATACCACGACGGTTCGATATCGAGAGGAATAGCTTTAATTGTAATAGATGTGTTAAACTTGATTTCAAAATTCAAATTGTCTTTTTTTATCAGGTTAGAGTAATATTCTTTATAAATTATAATCCTTAAATATAATAAAAGAACAGGATTTTTTTATATTTCCATTTTGTGAAGACACTATTTAATATTTTCCATTTTTTTTTCACAAGGTTATACCAAATACTCCTACAAGTAATCTGTTATTCACAATTTAATTTTATTCGTCATTTCAGTCATTTTGAGAAAGCACAAACTACACGCGGGCGAAGCCGGATAATTTAACTAGTTTATTAAATTATTATTATATTTATATCAAATTATATTATTGTTATTAATTTAAGTTAATAACAATTCATAATTTAAAATTAATAATATCTTAAAATTAATCACCGTAGTTTGATAAACATTTTATTGAAAACTACTTTAGCGTGAAAATTCATGTTTTTCCTTATTTTTTTGTTTGTTTATTTTTTCCGATTATATTAGATTTAATTTACTATCCAAAACTACCCTCAAACTTGAAAGGCTAAGCATTTTTTAATTACTTATAGACTATAGTGTAAACAGACAAAAAACACTCATGATTGTAAAATCATTATATTCGTTACTACACTTAGAATTTAATATAATTGTTATTTTATTGTTCCATTTAATTGCACTATTTTACTCAGTCTTAAAATCAGAAGGGTCTTTATTACAAAAATATTATAATAATTTACCCGATTTAGATAATTTCATCAATTATAGAAAATTAATTAACAATATTTTCTCTTATATTAAATTCATGCGATTATTTTCTTTCTTGTTTTATTACTTGATTATGATGTATTCTGAATTTTAATATCACGTATACATTTTTATATTATTTATAGTTAATTTTTTAATATGAATTCAGATTTCAGCTATCCGTATTAAAGTGTACATATAGTTATTAGATAAGCTTGTAACTATTGTTTATTAAATATAAATTATACATCATTATATCAATGGCATTACTGGTGTTACCATTAACGTATCTTATTATATTTTATCATACGTAAATATATTTAAAAAATATTTAATGTTAATTTTAGCTATTTACTATTTATATCTACCGTATAATTCCTATTGTATTACAAATAATAAAATTAATTACTAAAATATATAATAAAATATACTTATAATAAAATTAATAAAGGCAATAGACTGACACCAGGCCCGGACTGGGGGGATATCGGTCTACTATTCTCAATAAGCAGGCGGCCCATAGATACAATATAAAAAAAGGCCAGTTAGTACACAGTGGCCCAGTTCAAGCCTAACTGACTCAATCTTTTTTTTATATTCAATGATTTATTATTGAATTCAAATTTAATACATCCATTGATGTGAGATGTCGTCAATAATGAGGTACACTCAATGACACCTATTTTACAGCAAAACGAATTTTATAATTGATAATTACAATTTACAGAAAGGGGACTATTTTGACTTGACAATTTAATTTTTAAACAAAACATATCTACTTACTTAACAATGATATTTTTTCAATATATTTTTTATCATATTAGTTTTATGTTTTAAATTGGGTATGATTTTAATGTTTTTTGTACTTTCCTTGCAGTGATTATTTTAAATTTTTTAAATTTATTTTTCATATTTAATAATTAATTTTATTATAATTTTATGTATATTTTATGTTATTACTTTTATAAGATTTAAATTTACAATATACATAAAAAACAATTTTATAAAAAAAAGTTACAAAAATTACAACATACCTATTACTCAGTCTTATTTTAAAATTTAATTATTAATTTAAATTAACGACCAAATAAACGTGTTAAATTTTTTCAAACTTTTTTATTTTTCAAACACCGCAGTAAAAAATTACTTATAAGTAAGGATCAAATTAAGCATAAACTATAAGTACATAATTCTATTTTCTATACACATTTTATGTAATTAACGAGTCTATATAATGTATCAAAACATATAAATATCAAAAGTTGAATTAGGATAATGTATCAAATATCAATACATGTTCTTGATATAAATGAATTTTTCTATATACGAGTATTGTGCAATAATTTATACTATATTATGATATAGTATGTTATCTTTGCAATCTTACTTACAAATTTCATAGTTGTTATTTTATTAAACTAATGAAACAAATCAAACTATGGATAAAAAATTGATAAATTTAATAATAAATTAAAGAATAATAGTTAAAAATTAAGTTATAGACTATAGCAATGAAATTATCGAAAAATTTAATAAAAAGAATAAAGAAATAACTTTTCAATAATTGTTTTACAATTTAAAATACAATAGGTTATTTTAAACATGTATATTTATATTTAAAAATATAAATATTTGCTTCTAACTATTTAATGAAATAATATAATTTGATCAGTCACAAATTTACGATATAATAAAAGAAAATAAATATAATAATATAAAACTATTTTAAGTTTTAATTATTGATTTGTTGGATGTTATATATTATTATATAAATACTTATATAATATATAATATTATGTAGGTATGTTTAATTATTTCCATCTACAAATTTGTATAACCACTATTAAAGTTAAATTTATATGAATTTTTGACCCGTAGACAAAAAATCTAGGCAGTGCTTGAGAAATATCCTTTCTCCACCCAAAATAAAATCGATGATTTCAAGGTATTTATTTTAGTCCCATTACTTAATATAAAATTTATATAAAATTGTATACATGTTGGTATAACATGATACAATAATCATAGTTTTTTTTTTAGTTTGCATTATTTGCGAATAATGTATTTACCTTGGTACAAGTCATAAGGTAAAAAACAACACAATATTATACAGAGATTAAGTATAACTCTGGACCTCAGAGATGCATATTTGTTTTTGAAACTCGAATCAACATAGGTTAAAAAACAGATTTTTTGTTTGGTGTTTGCGTAACTTTTGAATATTAAAAATGTAAAAATGTACTGTTGTGTGGCACCTAAAATGTTTATGATTATTAACGCAATATTGGAAGATATGATCGAATTTCACATGGGTAAAAAACAGGTAATGGTCGAACTAACTAAAAAAAGGTATTTCTATAAAAATATTATGTGTTCAAAGGAGATCAAAGTTTAGAAAACATTAATTTCCCTTTCACTGACAGACTTAGAACTGACTACAATTTTAATCATTGGTCTGGTAAAAAATATTTTTTAATAAAATTATATTATACATAATTTATGTATTATAAGTGTGACATTCATTTTTTTAAGCTTTTAAATTATATTTTGTAGTAATTTTAACAAACTAAAATTAAAAACTGTAACCTGGTAATTAATTGTAAGCATAGAAGTTAATTTATTTTGATTATTTTTGTCTGGCACAGTGTAGTTTAAGGTCTTATGTCAGTATTTTGTATTAAAACGTAAGTATCTATTTATAATTGTGTTAAGATATCAATAAATACAAATATACTTAGAATTTGGATAATAGTGCCATTAAAATATTCTGATAAGATCAAATACTTTTTTTTCGATGATCGTGAAATATATGTTTTTATATTATTTATTAAGTTCGTGTCATTATTATTTATTAAAATTGTTAATTATACAGGAGCTTTGATAATTTCTCCCTTAATCATTTTTAGGGATTAATAAATATTTTGATCAGCTCTTTTTAACTTTTCTGAATTTAAAATCATTTTCGAAATAAATTAAGTAGATTTTCATAGTCATAATTAATATAAATAAAGTATAAATATGGTCATAAATTAACTACCGTGAAAAAAATATTCATGTTGTCTAAATGACATTATATGAATCAATATTATTAAATACTCTGTAACGTTCACAAACAAGATAAGTAACATTTTTATAAGTTTATTTTTCAACCTTTTAACTTTTTACAATTTTTTTTTTTTTTTTACAAATGCAGTTTAATATTTACCTGATTTAAATCCGAGTGCAGCTAAACCATTACATTTTTTTTTAATCCAAGTGGCAAGTGCAATTCTGCCATGCTGATTCCAGAACGTAGGTATGAGTGGTATGACAATTGACAATGATTTTACGTTTTATAATCGGTTCAAGGAGTGCTATAATACCACTACCGAGATGCAGTTTATAAACTCCTTATCACATAGGTTGTTTATATACACAGTTTATTATCATACTAATTATTAATACTTATAAGCTCACTTACTACAACTCAAGTTATAATTTCCCGTATCCATTTTTATTATTATTTATTACTTATTACTTTATCATCACGTTTGTACTGTAGAGTGTAGATTTGATTATTTTTCTCACTCAATTTCGGATTCCGAGCACATGTAACATACTAACATGTTGCTTTCGGATTATTTTTTATAAACCGCTTAAAATTGTGTTTATTTTCTTAATAGAAACGATTAACTACAGCTGTTGTATATTTTTTTAAATAGATTATATTAAACTATAATATTTTCTTACCTTAGACTTTCAAATTGATAAGCAACAAAAAACATACTTATTTAAAATGGATTTTTGTCACACAGATGAAGAGAACATAGAAGAAGAAAAAAAGAGTTTCCAGCGAATAATAACTGCATTTATGTTCTACAGGTAATACCATTCTATTATTATTGTGTTTTGTGTTTCTATTAACACATCAATAATTGACTGTTGGTTTAAATCCACTACTTATCCATTGTTCATAAAAATAAAAGTCCTTTGTAGTGCTTGAAGTATATTTTAATACTGTATTTAATTATTATAAATCTTCTTACTCTCGTGTCTATCTTTAACAAACGCTTTGTTAGTTTTTTCAATAATTTCCTATTACATCTAATTTAAAAAACAGCAATTTAAAGTTTGACAATATATCACAAAATATAATTTGTGCATGTCAAAAATCAATTCAATAAAATAATAAATATTATTCATTTATTATACTTAATGATTAATTTCATCCTTCTCCTACTTGTCAAAAATCAAATATCCCAAAGTACTAATACATTATATCATCATTAAAAATATATTGAGTCATTTTCTTTAAATCAATATTGTTTCATATATTTAATTAAAAAATATTAATACTAAATCATTTTGATCATATTGTCAACATTTATCATTATATAAATAAAATATTTAAATTTAAATTACAAAATAGTAATTATATCAATAACATTTGTTTGTTTTTTCAGAATTCATTCTTTAAGCCGACTTACCAAGACCATAAACTACTTGAAATCATTACCAGAACAACATCAAAGACTATTGATTAACTACAGTAATAGTTTGGAAACTATAAGACATTGTGTAGATTATAATTACAATGTTATATTAGAAATGATTAAAGATACTGCATATTTATTTGAAAATCAAAATACTCCTAGCCTAGATGGTTGGGTAATAATAATCACATCAATAAATAAATAATTTAATTATTAATTAGATATAAATGTTTCTTATTTGTGATTTTTCTAATATTTAATGGTTATAGCATTCAACTGATAAATACACACCAATTGAATCTGATTTGGAAAAAGTGCAATCAACTCTGAAACAGTTTGTACGAGATTGGAGCACTGAAGGATTAGAAGAACGCAACACTTGTTATAAACCTATAATTGATGAAATTTTAAAAGAGTTTCCATTAGAATCGTATGTGCTCATTATCCTTAATAACTTTGTTACAAATTATTTAAAACAAATAACTTTAGTGTTACAGCATCTGAAATTAAAATTTTGGTACCTGGTGCTGGTCTTGGAAGATTGGTATTTGAAATTGCCAAATTAGGTTACACAAGTCAAGGAAATGAATTTTCTGTGTTCATGTTAATAGCATCAAATTTTGTGTTAAACAGGTAAGTTATTATTTTCTTGCAATATTTGTTTGAAATTTATTTTTATTTTTTATATCTATATAATTTTTTAGATGTCGAGGTGTTAATATGTATGTTCTTTACCCGTGGATTCATCAGTGTGATAACAATTTAGAAACTGAACACCAAATGCAATGCATTTCATTTCCTGATATCAATCCAGCCAAAGAGTTACCACAAAGTGCTCATATATCAATGGCTGCTGGTGATTTTTTACAAGTATAAGAGTTTTTGATTAAAATGTGTTAAGATATTTAGTTTATTCAAATGATTATAGGTTTACACTGATAAAGATGAATGGAATTGTATTGCCACATGTTTTTTTATTGATTGTGCCAACAATATAGTTGCATTTATTGAAACTATTTATAAAATTCTTAAGCCTGGTGGCATATGGGTCAATTTAGGGCCATTATTGTATCATTATAGTAATGTGTTTGATCAAAATTCCATTGAACCAAGTTACCAAGTTATTAAAGAAGTGATAAAAGGGATTGGTTTTCGGTTTGAAGTAAGCTTGGATCCAACTTAAATCATTTAAGTTACTAAAATAATTGTCTGTTTTTCTAGAAAGAAATTTTAAATTTGCCTACCAAATATGCTCAAAATCCACAATCTATGCTACAATACGAGTACAAAAGTGTATATTTTGTGTGTCGCAAACCAAAATTTCCATTATCATTAGCACCATCAATTTCTGAAAATGGAATGGATTTCCCACTTGATGATGAAGTCTGCTCAAATAATTTCAGTGGTGATAATGATGGCCATGATACAGAAGAAACCAATTGAACACTCAATGGATAAAGACTTAATTTTTTAAATATTAAGATATTTTTGTGATGATAATAAATAATAATATTAATATTGTAAGAAAATTTAATTTATCTTTTCTTTTCTAAACACATTTTTAATTTTATGTGTATTTTCATAACCTATACTACAATAATTTGAATCTCATTCAAAAAACATTTAATTAATATATTAAAAGTTAATGTATAACATATTGTATTGAAGGTTAAGTACAAAAACAAATTGTGTCATTAATTAACATTTTAGTTTGTCTGAAAATTAAATATTTAATTTTCCACCATTCTGAAATTTAATTTAAATTAAATTAAGAAAATATGTTATATTTAAACTTTAAATATCAATTAATTTATAAAGTAACTCATTACATTATAATTGTTACCTAAATACTATATAGTTTATAGAAACATTTTGTTTTTTATAAATACACCGAAATTGTTATAGGATAAGAACTATTTTTACAAATATTTATAATCTTAAAAGCAGTCTGATGTTTTTTTTAACTTTGACTTATAATATAAGAAAATAATATAATATTATTTTCTAAATTTACATAATTTGATTTTTAGAAAAAAAATATTAATTAGATTTGTATGCATGTAATAAGAAAATAAGAATAAAGCGTTTTAAGGAAAAACTTATTTTATTTTACAGTGTGATACATATTTATAACTGAAAATAAAACAATAAAAATATTAATACATTTAAAAATACTTAATATTCATTTTTATATACTAATACCTGTTTTTTTTTATCTTGATTCTGCTTTATGTTTAGGTGGCTTAAAAATTTTGATTTTTTTACTTGACTTTTTGGTTGATTCTTGAAATGCTTTCCAACTATTCACTCTGCTTTCTCTTGACTCCTTTATTTATAAACATATTTTTTGATTAAAGAATTGTACATGCTGCGATATATAAAAATAAATTATCTAATAATAAGACACTATAACTTTAGTAGCACAGTATCTGTTGAATAAATATGTATGTTGATCAGTTTAATCATTGCATTTATGATAAATTGATAAATATATACCGTTATTAAACATTATTTTACTAAATGCAATTAAAAAAAACCATAAGAGATTAAAATTTTAATGAATATATATTTTTTTTAAATTATAATCCACTTATAACAAAAAATTTAAATGGTGAAAATGTTTAGTAATCATGTCATCAATTAAAATAAACAATCTGCGACTTTCATTTTCGTATTACAAGTTTTATTAAACAAAAACAAATAACTAAATATTTAATGCAATCAATTTTGTAAGAAGATTTGTTTTTAAAAATGTTCTTTTCAAAGCAATAGTTTGAAATAAATTCAAGAGGGATTCAGACCCTTGAAGCCAACTTACTACAGTATTTTTTATTGATCTTATTTTTAAGCTCGGCAATTAAAACTATTAGCTATGGATAGGAACCGTAGGTTTTTTTGTGTAAAGTTTGTTTGTAAGAATTAGTTAGAAGGGTTGGAACACGTGTGTGAGCTATAGATTCGTCACTAAGAACTCGGGTGGTCATCCATCCAAGAGCTAGTAATGCCGGTTGATGCTTGACCTCATAACACATTAGTGACTAAGGCCAACCACCACGCCACACCAGGCCACTTACTGCAGTATTATCTCCCTTGTTAAGAGAACCTGTGTATACTTATGTTAGTACTATCTATACTATACTAAATAATAATCATTAATCAATAACTAAACTCACATCAAAGTTTTTTTGCCATTCTTTTGACACTGTTGCTTTTTGTTCTTCATCTATTTCTTGTTCCCGTTTCCTTTTTCTTTCTTGTAATTCTCTTGCTTCATGATCTTTTCTTTTACGTTCTAAATCAGCAAATAATTTACACGTTTGAACATAAATACTACGTTTCATAACAGCTGGATCATCTTCTTCAACTTTTGTATCTTTGCCTTCTTTTTTTAATTTTTTTCGTTTTTCTGCAATCGCGAATTCAGTCATGTCTTTAGCTTCTTGTATGATCTCAAGACATTTTTTTCGAGATTCATCATTATTAATTGTTCGCCATGCACGGTTAACAGTTTCAAATGCATTGTTTGCTCTTTGTAAATCATCTTGATTTTTATCTGGATGTACCAAAATAGACAACTAAAATAATTGATAATAATCAAAAAGTAGTTACAATATATTAATTATTTGTTTTAAAAATTGAAAATTTATGAAACTTACTCTTTTATATTTCTTCTTCGCCTCGTCCAAAGGTGTGTCATGGTCTAACTGGAGTACTTCATATGGATTAAGATTAAAATATGAAGCTCCGGGACGCAGGAGCCTATCAATCTGTTGTTTAGATGTCAACACAGAATCACGTTTTTCGATCTCTTTTACCTATAACAAAGAACATAATAAAATAACAAACAATTAATGAAAGATATGTCCATTAACTCACTTCTGTATAAAATTTGTCAAACTTGTCACTTTTCATCGGCGATTCAGGATCCGTCGACTTGTTAGCCATGCCTATATACCGACGGACCGTCTATAGTGTAAGATCTATTAAAACTGAATGCCAGAAGTACATTAATTCATTTGACTTGAAAAATAAAATCACATATAGGTCTTGGCGCTAGCAAACGATTGAAATCTAAAAACGTTCTTCAAAATAATATTTCTACCAGAAAAAAACATAATATTTTTGACAAGACTTAAAATCGAATATTCACTTACAACAACATTATTTATTAAATATAATTAAAATATTACTACAACTTTGAAGACGCTAAACAGTAAACAGTTAAAGTAGTCACTACTTAACAAATAACAATAATAATAACGTTATCAATTTAATTATTTCTATTGTTATCATTATGATTTTAACTATAGATCGAAAAATAGAGATAATAGTTATTACTTTTTTAATTTATGTAGATTTTTAATATCTATAAATTATGATAACTATTAATTTCCCTGTGGTTTGATTGTATAGATTTAAAATTTAAATTTATAACACATTAAAGAAATAGTCCATTCATAAATGATCGTTACAATTTACAACCATTGTGCATTGTCGCATTGACATAACATAAAGTTTAAATCCATCATGTTTATTATTATAAATATTTTAAACTGTAATAGTATTATGAATTATGATTATTATTATTATATTATAATAATTTGCTAAAGCTCAAAATTAATATTATAATAGTATAATAACCTACCGTATTGAATATTTGAATACCAATTATCAACTTATAATGCATTTATTATTTTATACTAAATTTATCGTAAAATTGGAGAGCGCTTTAAACATAGATTAACTAAGACCTTTGTCGGTTCCTTTATAATTGTGAATAAATGTTTATTGAAATTTAAAACCTTCTCAAATGTGAAATTCACAAGCGAACGCAGAGATTGGTTAATCTCTGAAATATCAGGAAAAATAATAAATTATTGAACCTACAAATTTAATGAGTTGTATTATATTATTGTATAACATGTATAAATAATTATTACCTACTGATATATATATACTTAAAATAAAGAGTAATACAGTATGATATTTATAATCATTTTACATTTTTTCAATTCCTCCCCATTAAAATGTTTTCCAGAGTTCTTCATTGGTAAAGTATCACGAAATTTAAACTCAACCTAATACATAAATTAGATTCTAAACAGAACAATTAAATGTATTGATTTTACAATTTGTAGTTAGTAAAAATGGTAGTGGGGAGGGGGGTTCTAAAAAAATGGAATCAAATAGGTCCTAAAAATAAATTTTATAATTGAAAAAAAAATAAGGAAAAATGAAGATTTTTACGAAAATGTTTACCAGATGTTTATTAAATTGTATTTATTTACGATAATAGTTAATTTAAAATAATTATAACGCTATAACAGTATAGATAATTGATATTTTCATCAAATTTTCATCAAATTTTTATATTATTATTTTCATTTTATGATAAAATGTTCAAATTAATTGTTTTAAGCTATTTAATTCCCTCTACAAATTTTAAATTTTCTTAATTTTTTTTTTTTAATTATTGATAAAAAAAAAAAAAATCAGTGGGTCAAAATTCTTTTTTATAGTTAGAAGTTCATAAAAACATTTATTTTTGTTTATTTATTTTTTACTTATTTAACAATGTCAATTATTTTGTTATGATTTAAAAAAATTATTCATGAAAAATCAAAACTTTTATTTTACTCCATACAATGACAGTTTTGATTTATTTTAATATATTATTACCTAACTATGAATCTATTTTTACTGTTTAACGCTACCTATTTACAAAAAAATGTTAATACATTTTGAATTATATGAGTTAATAAAATATGGTATAAATACATATTATTATAATAATTAAAAACTTAATATAAAATAAATAAATTCAATTTTTTCGAAAAGAATACCATCAATCTACTATAATACTAAGAGTAAAATCTTATGACTTTAATAACTATATCAAAAAACGTATCACGAAATAATATACTTAGTGATAGAGGCGAATAGCCCATGTATGTTGACGGAAATTCTTCACTCGAAATCGTTTTTTGCATACAATAATATCTTATCGAATTCAAATTTACCACATCTATAATAATGGCTCATTCAGCAAATTAATGTACAGTAGAGCAGTAGGTACCCACTTTCCCATTTTTTTTTTTTATGGGGGAGGAGGAGATTTAAATGACATTACAATGTAGGTATACTGTACATAACATTGTTTTATTTACATTCGGCCAGACGTGCAGTTATTACTTGTTATACAACAGTTGGTTGCAAAGTAAAAATATTTAAAACACGTCATACATTATTTTTATGCGCCATATTGGTTATACAGAAAAAATATATTAAAGGTTTAAAGAATAAAAAATATATGATTTGATAATTAGTCCTTCTTATCTAATAATTACATAGTTATTGATGTTTGTTCATAGGAAATTACTTTTTTGAAAATTCAATAATTAAATCTGTAGGTATCAATTATTATAAAATATATTATAAATTATAATAAAAAACCAGAATCAATCAGACAGTATTTATTTTTAACACCTGATTGAAAAGCGATTTTCATATTTGATTGAGTTTTACTTAAATGTTAACAAAAATCTTATGTTAAATTTAATATTTACTTTAAAAAAAAATGTGTTTTTAATTTAATAATACTATTTAAATTGGCTTATTATAAAAGTTTATAGTCTTAATGTATGATAGTATTATCTTTCAAGTTTCTAAACATAAATAGGTACTTTATGTCTTTATAATATAATATAAATATTAAATATGTACCTTAGATAATAAATATCCACAGTATCTGTAAATCTGTAATTATTAGTATTAAGTTTTGATTGTGAATCTGATTGGATGTAGATATATATTTTTTTAATTTTCATTAATTTTATTTCAGCTCCATTAAAATTAAATTTAAAATAACTAATATATATATTTAAAAAAATTGTAATACTTTAAGAATTTTAAAAATTTTAATACAATATTTAATTTTACCAAAAACCAGTCTATTCATATCAAAAATCTACTAATGGGAATTTTCTTCAATCTATGAGCCATGTATTTTTTTTTATTTACTACAGTTACTAATAAGTAACTATAAGAACTATAAGAATACTTCCACATGTATGAAGTTTGAACAGATTGTGTAATAAAAACAATAAAAAAAAAAAGAAAAAATATTTAATTTATTTAAGTTTCTACACACAAGTTTATACTAAGCAACTTAATTCTCTTAAAATTGAACATGGTATGATAGTTTATTATTTAAAATATATGTTTGGAAACCAGGAATTCAGCATAAACTGTCTAACTTGTTTAAAAATTAATATTTAACTAAATTATTTGATCAGATCAGAGATATTATTTTAATACAAGATTAATAAAGTGGTGCAAAGATATAAAGTTAATATATTAAATTATGTTCTTAAAATAAAAATTAAATCAATAAAATATCAATTTTTTTTTTATTAAAATTAGCATTTAGCAGTATTAATACGTCTAATTAGTTTAAAAAATTCAACATATTATTTTAAAATATAAAGAAAGGAAAAAAATGAGTTTTTTTTATTATACGGGTCTAATAAAATTAAAAATTGATGAAATTATTTACAAATAATAAATATAATTTATATAAATAGGAATTTCAAATTTGTTTATAAAGCATCAATAATCTTTTAGTAATAAACATAAAATGAAGTAATTTATAAAATTATTATAAATTGTTTATCAGTATTCACTCAATTATTTAAAAAAAAAAAAAAAAATGACACATTATTTTACCAAATAAACTTAATACATAATTAAAATTTATAAGTTATTTTATAATTGAATTAGTTAAGAAAGTCAAAGGTATGAACTTCGTCATATTGTTGCTGTTGTTGTTGAGGTTGCAAGGTTCTGCCTTGAGCTACAGGAACTTGCTGCATGCCCATCATTTGTTGTCTGTATTGGGGTTGCTAAAAATATATTAAATTAGTAATCAATTTTTATTTGAACTCAATCAAAATATTAACAATTATATATTTAATCATACTTGTTGTAATAAATGTCTAAGACCAGGATTGCTGGACATTACGGGTCGCATTTGCATTCTCTGCTGTGGTGCATTATTACCCATAATTTGTGGTGATTGATTTCCAGGAACCATTTGCCTTGACTGCTGTTGCTGCTGCTGTTGTTGCTGTTGCTGCTGCTGCTGTTGCTGTTGATGGATATGGAATTGTTGGGTTCTCAATTTGTGTTCTTCTTGTTGATGCTAGACACAAAATTATCAACAATAAAAATGATTCTACCCAAATATACACTAAAAATATTTCATTCAAATGCTCTTTAAATAATAAAATAAAAAATAGACCAACACATTAAAACAGTTTACTCACTTCTAATTGTGCTTTTAATATAGTCTCTTGCATTTGAGCATGTTCCAGATTTTGTTGCATTTGGGGCACATTCATTTGATTACGTATCTATACCATATAATAATATTTAAATATTTCTAATACATAAAAAATAATATACTCATCATACTTCTAGCTGAGACTTCAATATGTTTTCTTGCATTTGAGCTTGTTCCAAACGTTGTTGCATTTGTGGTATGTTCATTTGATGACTTTGTATCTACAATTTATAAAGTATTAGTAATAAAAATAATAAAGCTCAAAACAATTTTATACCTCCATTTGAGACTTATACTGTAATTCTTGTTGTTGTGCTGCTTCAAGTGTTTGTCGAAGCTGATGTATCTTGGCTAAATTTTGCTTTCTAGCCATCTCAATTTGTTCACTGTATTGGCCTTGTGATGGACGAACACCAACATTGCCAACACCTCCAGGACTCTATAATAATTCATCAAATTTAGAGCAATCAAATAATGTATTATTTTAAAATGGTTTTACTTGTATAGGTATATTTGGATTATTAACTGGTTGCCCAGTTGGTTGAGGACTAGGCATCATTTGAACTGATGGACTATTAGGGACAACCTGATTACTTTGTGGTGCAAAATTGTTGGATCCCATTAATTCAGCTATTGTGAAAAACAAAAATTATTATTCAAACAAATTGTACTGCATTTTTCTTATAATTGGTAAAATTACTAACATAAATTAGATTGTGGTTGACTTTGTAAAGAAGCTGTCAATGCATTGTTAGGCATAAGCCCAGGCATCTGGATAGGTCCTGGACCACCAGGCATATTTGGACCAGGTGGTAATTGTAACTGTCCAGGCATATTGCTTTGAGGCATTACCATTCCAACCTAGGAATAAATAATGAAAATTAGAATTTTGAACAAAAATACAGTTGCTTATTTGTATATAAAGACTTACAGTTAAATTTTCATATAAAATTAACACTGGAAACTCATAAAACTATACCTAGGTACTTATCCAAACTATCTAGATCAGACTCACCCTTAGAATTTTAAGATATGGGCATCGTAACAAGTCTCCATAACTTAAATATTACCTTATCCATCTACAATTAGACTACAAATCAAAACTGTTTAATTGTGTTTATTTATCCCCATAAGTATATTTTACAAATATTAAAACAAGAGTACAAAAATCAAAGTAAATGACTACATTTTAATTTATTTTGAAATCATTAGAAAAATGGATAAAGTTAAAATTCAACAAAAAACACTTTTAAAATCTTATTTTCTTTTTATTGCTAATAACTTCATTGTATTAAAGCAATATTTCAACATAAATAAAACTTTATACACTTTATCTATTGATAAGTATTGATACACAACAGTATTGAATATTTGGATATATTTTATAAGTTAATACATCTATAGTGCAAGATAGCTGTTTTATAAATACTTATTGCTCCTAGAGCATAGCAGATCAGTGCAATATATGAAACCTGATCAGGAGGATTGGATGATTTAACACTCAAGAGTTTGGTTAATTGCCATATATATAGTTTAATTATAAATAATACTAAAAAAAATAATAAATCAATACACATTAATAGTATGTAATAACATAATCACCTCGTGGCTAGAAATTACCCCCATCCCCACCATACATAAATCTTATTTTATGTTTATTACATAATTAAACCCATACTAACTGAATACCTATATTGACTCAACAAAGAAACACCCCATTCTATATTTATTAGAAGTATTACATCAAATATTAAAATCATTAACTTCTTAAGGAAATTTAATTATATAATTTAATATAAGAATCTTGTCCTATGTGAACTGTTTGTAAATTTATTATAAACATTGTAAATTAATGGTCTAGTAGCCAATGTATAATAAAGATAAATAAAAAAAAAAAAAAAAAAATTATAAATGGTTTTAATTTAAATCTTCAGTTTAACCTCTCTGAAAAATTACAAATAATGGTTATTTGCTTGTCAGTAATTAATAATTTTTTTTATATTATGTGATACCAAAACATAATATCTTATGTAGAAAATATCCAATAAAAAATTGATTCCCAATAATCAGATTTATCAATTTATCGCAATTTCTAATAATTACACACCATACTCCACAGCAACGGTTCCCAACCTGAGATACGTAAAAAAATTGACTAATGGCGGAAAAGGTTTAAAATTATAATGAGGGGTACAATCTAACAAATTATTAAATTTAGGGGTACAGAATGAAAAAAAAAGATTAGGAACCGCTGCACTACAGCCTCCTCTTAGAAACTTTAAGATTGAAATTTCTATTTGAATACATAATGGAAAAAATTAACTTGAATTGTGGAAATATTTATAAAAATTAAAAACGCTTCAATTTTAATTATTAAAACTATTACTTTATTTAAATAATTTAAACTGAATAATAAAAAAAGTCTCATTTAATACTAAAATTATATGAATGGCATTAGAATATAAAGCACTTAGAATATTTTAGTTAAAGATATTAATTAATAATTTGTTAATAAAGAAATCTATACCCAATTTTCAGATGAAGTTTTTTCTCCCATTCGATTGTTTTCATGGTATTATAACAATTAATTTTCTTACATAAATAAAATCAATTATATTGTACAATATAAGAAAACTATTATATTAGATTTATTTATTTTAATTCTATTAATTTAATAGTATATCTAGGATGGGGAGCTATTAGTTGTGATGAGAGAATAAATGCACAAATAATATATACAATTTGGTGGTTAAAAAAATTCATCATAATTTATTTTATTTTATTAATTAAACATTGTATTTCTATAGGTTAAAAAAAAAATTTAATAAAAGAAATCCAACATTACAGAAGAGGTGCTATAAAATTATACACTTAGATTATGGCCATTTAATATTTTGCAATATTTCAACATGGTTCCACAATTTAAAATACATAACACAGTTAAAATCATAAAGGCAAAATGTAATGAATACATTTTTTATTTTTTTTATTCAATTGACTTATTTTAATTATTCGATTTTGTTTAAAAAAAAATTACAGTTAAATTGTTAATTTATAAAAACTTGAAACATGAACTTTTAAGAATTTAAAAATCAATTGAATTAGTAAAACAAAATTCAACACAATATTTTACATGTAGAAATCAATAAATTATTTATAAATTATGAGGATTTATACATACAGTAATACTTTAAATGAACATTTGAGAACACATATTTAAAAAAGATTTTTTCGGTAATTTGTAGGTATAGATAAATTTATTGGAAAATTAAAAAAAAACTACATATCAATACAGTTTGCATATTAGTTTAATAATTAAGTCAGTTGCATTATTATGTACAATCTTAACTTCTAATTAAATTTTGAAAATAATATCTAATCTCCCTATATATTAAATCATACACGATACACAAATGCAAAAAAAAAAAAAAAAAAGACAAACGTTTCCATAGTTGATTTTAAAATGAGTACTCACAGATGAAGTAAATCATTTAAAAAGTAATACACATAAGAATGTATAAGTCTTGAAAAACTTGAAAATCATAAGTCAAGCTATCATATTAATATCATTGTCTTGAAAAATGTTATACTAGATATAAAAATTATTTTCTTTCAACATAAGAACTGAGCTCTATCTCATTAGGCATGCGGCCAATGGTGACATCAAATCTATCTTGAACACTATTCAAAACTTTTGCATCAGTTTCTTCACAAATGAATGTAATTGCTAATCCTTTAGTACCAAACCGTCCAGCTCTTGCTACTCGATGTAAATAGGTATCTGTATCCTCAGGCATGTCATAATTAATAACAATGTTTACTCGTTCAATATCCATTCCTCGACCAAATAAATTGGTAGCCACCAATATTCGTTTTTGAAAATCTTTGAATTCTTGGTAAAACTTTAACCGATCTTGTTGGGACATACCACCATGCATGGCAACAGATGGGAAATTTTGTTCATTTAATAGCTCTGTTAATACTACGCAACGTTGAACAGATTTAACAAAAATGATAACCTAAAAAAAAAAATTCATATAAACAATAGTTTTCAAGTTTAATATTAACTACACTATTTTTAAAGTAAGATTACTAATCAAATAGTAGGTATTTAATAGAAATTAAATTTTACCTGATTGAATTCTAGTTCGTCTAGAAGATCAAACAATTTCTTATTTTTTTCCTTTTCAGTGAGTTTAACATAGTACTGCTGAAGACCGTGTAATGATAGTTTGGCATCATCGTCAACATAAACTTCCAATGGTTGCTGCATAAACTTTTTACAGACAGGTCGTATATCTTTGCTAAGTGTGGCACTAAACATCATTACTTGTTTGTTGAATGGAGTGTTCTTAAATATTTCTTGGACATCACTTCGCATGTGTAAGATCTCCAACATTTTATCACACTCATCCAAAATAAAATGCTTCAAATTATTGAGAACCAATTTCTTTTTTCTGATCAATTCGAGTATGCGACCTGGTGTGCCAACCACTACATGCGGCTTATTATTCTTTAGAGTATCTTCGTCTTTTGTAATAGGCACACCACCAAAGAAAACGCTGACCTTGACTGCTGGCAAGTATTTGGTGAAGCGCTCAAATTCTTTGCTTATCTGGAAAGCCAATTCTCTGGTATGGCATAAAACTAGAGCGTATACTTCGCTCTCGTATACTTCCAATTGCTGTAAGGTGGATAAGACAAATACAGCCGTTTTACCCATACCAGATTTGGCTTGGCACAAAATATCCATACCCAACATAGCCTGTGGTATACACTCATGTTGTACTTCAGACGGATGTTCAAAACCACAGTCGACAATCGCTCTTAGTATTTCTGGTTTTAACAAAAAATCACGGAAACCCGAACTGTGTATGGACACATAATTACCCTTAACTTCTTTTTTAGCTTGTTTCTTCTCATCATTTTCGACGGTCTCGTTCTGTTCATCTTCTTCGTAATCCAAAAGATCATCAGCATCCGCCATTATAAGGGTATGGAGTATGCGAGTAACGCGTTGAACGCAAATAAAGAATGTACGGATGTTAAGTGGTAGTTCACGTTGAAACCAAGTACGTAGAGAAAATAATTTACGAAAACAGAAAATTAATCGGCAAACGACGCGTGTTTATACGGCATTACGGCATACACAACAGACATTTTAGATCGGCGTTTAAGAACAGTGTGTACACGTATAGGGAATGTAAACAACAGTTTACAGTTTAGCAATACCAACATAATAGAGTAGTCAACATCAAAAGATTATAACAATCTATCCGAAGTATGCACCATTGATCATAGATGGCGGTAAATACTAAATACAAAGATAGTTAAATAATATTTCTACCTAAAAATATTAGTTCTGTTTGTTTTAGAAAATTATAGAATATTTTGCAAATCAACAATAAATAAACTTTGTTATTGTCCAATAATAATAATTTAATACACTACTATGTGGTAATATGGCAAAAATCACGACAAAGCAAGTTTATCATGATAAAAATAAATAACAAGTTAGTTGGATACAAATTGTTAATGTATACAACTTTTGGTAAATTTTAACAAGTGTATACTGATTACACATTCTAATAAGACCAAATATTTACGTTTATTTAAATCTTTGCTGCTAATACTTTAAACTATTTTAGAATTGTAATGTTAACCTTAATAATATTTACCATTTTTATTAAAAATACTAAGTAAATAATTTCATTAATATAAATTTATAATACTCTTACTAGTAAACAAAAATTAGTATTTAATAAAATAAAAATTTTATAACAAATTAATTTAGTTAAAAATCTTACCTGGCCTTGACGTAATATGGCTGAGGACGCTTTTTGATGTTGTATTAATTTGCGTAATCTATCTACGAATGCTGCTTGATCATTTGGAATAAAACCTATAAATGCTTTTCTATCGTGTGTATAAAGTAATATTAATACCTTGACATCACAATTATGAGAAGTTGGAGCACTATTAAAATGTACACAGCCAGCCTATAAATAATTCAGTTTTATAAATAAAAATTAGGATATTGTATTTATTAAAATTAGGACAATTAGATATTAAGAAACTTACATATCCACTGGTCATATACTTTGTTAAAGATTCTAATGCTTCACATGGTGAAGGTTGAAAAACCACGGATTTTGAGTCTTTCAAATGAGCCCCTCCAATACTTCCTATTAAATTCTTGGGCATTAATTGCATAATTAATTTTTCAGGCCATGTTTCTGCTTTTCTATGTATAAAATAAATAATTATAAGAAAATATTTTTGAATACTCAAGTAACAATAGCAATCTTACAGTTCTGGTTCTCCATTTTTTATACTGGCTGAAACAATACAAGGGACATTTCTTGTTATTTTCGGTATTTCATTTAAATTCTTTGATTTTTCTATCCATTCTAATGTTCCTGTCCAAATAGTTTGTCTGCCAGGTCCATTCTATGATAATGATAATATATTTTATAAAACACGGTGTAATGATTTATTTAATAATTAACTTTTAATACTTGTTGCTGCTGTTGTTGAACTTGTTGTTGTTGTTGGTTCATAATTCGTAGAGCTGCTTGCTGCTGTTGCTGTTGCTGATGTTGCTGTTGCACTTGGTGTTGTTGTGCTTGTTGCTGTTGTTGTTGTGCTTGCTGTTGCTGTTGTGCTTGCTGCTGTTGTGCTTGCTGCTGTTGTACTTGCTGCTGTTGAGCTTGCTGCTGTTGTGCTTGCTGCTGTTGTGCTTGCTGTTGTTGTGCTTGCTGCTGCTGTTGTTGTTGTTGAGCTTGCTGTTGTTGAACTTGTTGTTGTTGCTGTTGAACTTGTTGTTGCTGCTGTTGGACTTGTTGCTGTTGTTGCTGTTGTACTTGTTGTTGTGATGCCACTAAAAATGCATTCATTAATATTTTAAAAAATATTTAGGTATTTATTAAGCTTTTAGAAATTGTATTAATTTGAATAATTAAATAAATAAATTTATGTAAAATCATCAACAATAATCAATAATATCAACTAATTTGTAATTTGCTTAAAAATTTTAAATTTCATTACCATATATTCAGTGATAAGCACAACAAATATTATATTCCTTTGACCACTAAATCATTTCCCCATCTCATAAGTGAATACATTTATAATCTAAAAATGTAACTTACTATCTAATCTTTGTTGGAATGTAGGTGTTGTTAACTGCGCAATTAATGCACTTGCTTGATTTGGTTGACGCTGTTGGGTTTGCATCATTTGCCAACTACGAGGCGCTTGAGGAGGTCTCAAAAAACCACCAGTATTAGATACATTTGAGTATTGCTGATTTTGACTTTGATTTACATTACGAATCATTTGTTGTTGTTGTTGTTGTTGTACTTGTTGTTGTTGTTGCTGTTGTTGTTGTTGTTGTTGAGCTACAGCTACAGCTTGTTGGGCTGCCTGAACAGCTTGTTGTTGTTGATGTTGTTGCTGTTGCTGCTGCTGTTGTTGTTGCTGTTGTTGAACTTGATTTTGCATAGCCAAAACCTGACCAACAATAAGATTTTATAAATACTTTTTTGTGTTAAACTACAAATGTTTCAAAATTTAAATATTTTCTTTAATAACCAAAACTTTATGAAACATTTTTTTTTTGTTTTTATAAAATCTGTAAATATATATTTTTACAATAAGTATACGTGATGTATGGGGTAAAAGGAGACTGATAACTTGATTGAAGAATCCATCCAACGATGGAACTTCATAAAGTGTGAAGTGGTTACAAATGTATTCAGTCAAATGATCTATCAACGCTTTAGTCATCTTCTGGGGTCACTTGGGATGCTGAGAGTAGATAGGTTAGAGATTGGGGTAGGATAGGGGTTTTTGGATAGATTTGAGTGAAAGCGTTTATAGAGTTTTGGCTATTTGTTGAATTTTTTTTATGTTATATGATTTGGCTGAACCCCAAAGTTGTATACCATATGACTATATAGATTTTAGTAAAAGTTTATACATGAGTATTTTATTGTTTAGATTAACAAGTTTGGAGGTTAGAAGGAGATGAAGTTGACAGGATCAGTTATTCAGCACAATTCGGTTGATATGGAAATGATGGACCCAGGCAGTGGTAGATCCAAGAGGGGGTCAATGGGGGCATTTCCCCCCCCCCCAAATGCCCAAATTTCCCTATATTTTATGTCATAGATATTAATATTTCTTGAGTTACAGTTACAGTTACATCGTAAGATATTACAATTCTGAAAATTTCCCGCCAGTCTAATAATAGCACATTAATTATTAAGTTTCTTTATCATTGTTCTGGTGAATATCGACTGGACTGTTGACAAACGTTCAATAAATACGATAAAAGACTTTGTTTTGTAAAATGTACTATAAAATATAAATTTGTGAGATATTGTTTATATGTTGTAAATGGTTTGGAAATTTTTTCCCCTGTAAAATTAAGCCCTGAATCCGCCACTGGGCCCAGGTCAGTCAATGATCCATGTGGAAACCTAGGTACCGGACATTTTGTGTGGGTGAGATAGGTAGAATTGAGGATTATTTTAAGACAATTCCTTATCTAAGAGTGAATGTGCAATAAATGGATTTAGACTCATTTATACTACTCCCCCAATCTTTATATCAGGTTTGGAGTAAATTTAATTGAAATTAGATGTAGTGTGAAGCTATTTCAGGTTCTGAGTAGAGCACCCAAATAGCTTTGTTATCTGCGAAATCACCTATAATTATGTAGTTAGTTTTGGGTTTCTTTGAGGTATATAAATTGAATAAAAGTGAGGCTAGAACACCTTGAGGATTCCAGCATAGATGAGATTTATATCAAATAGGGCTAAGCTAGAATGTACAACAAAATGCCTGTGTTCAAAGTATGAATAATAAGTAGTAATATGGTATAAAGGTATCTTAAACATTGATATTTTATGTTTAAACAAACAATTTATAAAAATATTCAGTTTATTTATATTTTTATTTTAATAGACAATTATTTGATTACATACCGGATTAGTAGTTCTAAATGGAGTACATGGAGCAACTGGTGATCCTATGTTAACATTTGTAGACAATGGACTTGTCATAGATAAACCAGAATGAGTTGTAGCAGGAGTTGGGCTCATTGGTCGTTCTTTTAGACTGTAATACATAAAAAGGAAAAATAATAATAGATATATTATAAATATCTGACATTTTAGATATTTATTTAAAAATCTGGAATATTACAATTTATTATTCATAAAAACATGGATTAAAAATAGTAATATTTTATCATCGTGCTACATGATAGTAGAAAGTATATTATGTTTAAGTTGTTTGTTTTACATAGTGTTCCAAACAAAGTCATTTATTTTTTTCAAATGGAAAAATATGTTACAGAATTTTAATTCAAAAATAAGGAGGTAGTTAATGCAATTTGCAGTATGATATTCAAATTTGTCATTTTTTTTAGTAATTTTTCTAAAGACACTGAACCCCTATTTTTATCCATGTTAATTATTGCATTAAATACCTACATTAAATTAAAAAAATATACTATTTTAAGCTATATAAAATATTGATTATTACGCAAATAAATCAATAACATATTAAAGATACAAACATATACATTTTGAGATAACAATCTAATGTCACAATGCTATTTTCAATTTCTTATATCTAGTTAAATAATGAAAATAAAACTATACTTTAATTAAGAATAACTTATGTTTTAAATTTGTTGCTTATTAACATTATAATTAAATTAAAACTTAATATTTTTCAATTAATTCACCTGTATCCATTGAGTAATACTAGATGCCTCGGATCTTTTGCATAATTTTTGTTTTGAGAAATTTGTAAATCACCACCAGCTTTTTCAAACAATTTTAATAATGCAGGAGTTTTTCTAGCTGACAAAATTGAGAGTAAAATTCCTTTCTAAAACACATACATAAATATTAAATTTATAAATAATTTCAAATTTTTATAGATATTGAAAAGTAAAAAAAAAAATAGTTACTTCTTGGAAAAGATTTGCCATTTGATCAACACTACGGCCAGCATATGTTTCACATTCCATAATTGGAAAATTATATGGTGGTGAATTACATATAAGTATACAATGTCTTTGCTTAGCTTCTCGGATTTCTTGCAAGTCCTCAAAGAAAACCAGGGCCGTGGCTAAACCTTCACCCATGTAAGCATGAGATTCAGCCATACCACCAATCATGCTGAAAAAGGGACTTAAGTTAAAAACCTAATACTCTGCCTAATACAATAAAAACATGAATAGTCTTACTCAATTTTTTCAATAATTTTTATAACTTTTTGTGGGCTTGTAAATGTCCCATAAGAACGACAACATGGAAATGGTTTACAATCATTTGCTTCATACACTACAATACCATAAATTGCACTGCTACTCTGTAATATTGAACAAAATGTATTTACAATAAATATTTCAATGTAACTCTTTTAAACATTTTAATAATACTTACTTCAGACAAATACTCTCGTTCGTCAATAGGTCCTTGGTTAAAGTATCTTTATAAAAAAGGAATAAGAACACCCAATTAAGAAAAATTTCAAATTATGTAAATTAGTACTTTTAATAAAAAAAACTCAATAGTAATTCTTTAAATATAATGAAAAATCAATGATAACTTAGTAACTTACTCTAACGTTGGAGTCACATAATTTGTTTTGAGTTCACTTATATATGTGTTCATTGCTGTTTTCTCTATTACAAATATGATATCTGTTTGAATAGAATGATCCAATGGGCCTAAAACCATTTTGTGTTTTTAAATAGTAATTTTTGTCAAAGAGAAAATGTAAGCATTTATTATTGAGTTTTCAATATATTGTAATATATTCGTGTATTTATATCATATTATTATCATACATTAATTATATTATTATTTATAGTAGAAAATATAACAATTAAATTTTTTACAACATAAATAAAAATCACCAAATACTCGCTGCCTGCTGGCTGCTATTATGTACTAAAGATAATACTACATAGTACATAAAAGTATATACCACTGTGTTATGTTATTAACACATAAGTAACATAACAGTGAAATCAGTGAATAGTGTTATCACTTATCATGAAAACAAATCTTATCAAAAACCAATATAATTATTATTTATTTTAATTTGCCACTTGGAACTCGGAAATTGGATTCCTGGTTGCTTGTCAGTTGTCACGTCTTTTCGGTTCTTCACAGTAATTCGTATTATTCATAAATTTGTTGTGGATTTTCAATTATTTTTTTAATACCATCAATAACTCTTGTTATGACACATCTATCGTTAATACTTTAAAGTTTTGTAGAGAAACACTAGGTAAAAATAAAATGGATACGAAATTTCCTACGAAAAATGCCAACGAATTCGCCAACGATTTGTTTGAGACATGTAATTTGACTGAAATTGAATCTCTACAGAGTTCATTAAAAAAAGATGTGGAGAAAAAGGCAGACCAACTAAAATCATTAGTGAGGTTTGTGCACAAATGATTTGATATTAAAATATTAAAATATGCTTTATACTCTAAATTTGTTTTATTTTATTTTTATTGTTTAGCGAAAAATATCGAGATCTTATTGATGCAGCTGACACAATTAGTTCTATGGCAATAATAGTTAGTGACATAACAAATGTTACTGAAAATATTTTAAAAATAAACATAACTAATCCTAATTCAACATTAGATAGGTAATTTTCAATATACTTACACCCATTAATAAATTATTTTTAATATGTTTTTATTCTTTAGTGAAAATAATTTACTTGATACATTTGCTGCTCAGTCAAAACTTTTAATTGATTTAACTGAACAAATATGGGATTGTTTGAATTCGAGAAATTATTTAACTGCTACTCAATTGTTTCAGTTGGCTTTATGTGTTAAAACAAGTAAGCATAATATCATTAAGCATACAAATAAAATAGTTTATTAGAAATTATAGTTAATAAATAATAAAATTAATATAATTTTAATCAATATGTTTTAAATATATATTTAAACTTAGGTTTGAATGAAAATTTAATTAAAGGCCTTAAAAAAGTTAAACCATTTTTGGACAGGGTTTGGTCTACAATATCTCACTTTCAAACTACAATATCAGATAAAACAAGATTAGAATTATCTGATCAAATTTCACCTGAAGTAAAATAAAAAATTAGAATAATTACTTTCAATATGTATACTAAACTTATACTTTATTATACAGAATGCAGCAAGTTGTTTTGTAAGCTTATCAATATTAGAAAGATTAGATGCTCATTCTTTAGTTAAAGAATTTATTATTCTACGTTCAAACATGTTGCAACATTCATTGACAGAAGGAAGTTCAGTTGAAAAAAATATTGAAAACAGTTGTAATTTAATAATAAATACTATTTACAATTTATACTTATGTTTTACAAGTAAGATTACCAATGTATTTTCAAGTATTATTACTGTTATAAATTGTAATCTAATGATAAGATTTTGCAATTAATAACTAAATAATTTTGTTTGTTTCAAGATTTTTCAAAAAAGTTAATTATTTAATTTAATTTATTACATTTTTTTTTTAGACTATGATATTTATAACATTGGAATGATATACTTACAAATTAAGAACATTTTAAATAATGGACAAAATGTATTATCATTAATTGATTTGGATTATTCATTAAAATTTGGACTTATATATTTACCAAATTCCATTAAAGAATTCAAGTATGTTATTTTATAATTCATCTCATATTTACTATTAATTGTAATTTATTCGATTTAGGATTGATTGTACATTATCACCCAACGAATTATCAAAAGACTACATAACTAATATTGTTAGTAATTGGTTAGAATGGGCAAAACCATTTGTTTGTACCAAAGTCACAGAACTTCTACAAAGTGTTCAATCTTTTTCAACTCTTCGCCACTTAAATCAATTATCTATCGTAAGAGAAGAAACAAAAAAAAACAAAATGTCATTTATTGCTTATTATTTTTATATTTTAGGAATACCCTCAACACTGGACCGCTATATCTGAACAAATTTCGTTTGAGTCTGATTTGTGGTCTGAATTATACTGTCCTCTTTTTGCTCAAAGAATTAAAGAGCTGTTAACCACTCATTGGGAAGATATTTTTCCTGTAATTATCTCAGATATAAACAATGCATTAAAACAGTAAGATGTGATAAAAAAAAAAAAAAAAAACTTTTTTTAACCTTTTTATTATTTCAGACCAGAAGAACCTTACCTACAAGATAGTTTATTTTCTGATACAGATGAATGTTTTAAAACCCGTTCGATAGGTTGTTCAGATAGAACAGCTGAATTGTGTGCATGTATTGAAAGAAGGATTTTATTATTGGAAAATATGTTAAGTGAAATGTACTCTAAAGATGAAGATCCGTGGGCTTTAAAGCTACACCAAGGAAATTGTTGTAACAATTTTATTATTAGGTTAATGAAGTTAATTTTATTTAATTCAAATATTATTTTATTTAAAATAAATTAGAGATTTTTTTACATATAATAATAGAATAGAAAATAAAATTTATATATTTTTTATAATACTTCTAGGTTGGGAAAAAGTATGATACAATTAGTTGAAAAAGATACAATTACTGAATCTGGCATATTGTTGATAGCTAGATTTTTATGGTTCATGCCGATATTATGTACAACGTTAAAACAGTGTTTAGTATCCTCTTATCAACAAGTAGGATATTTTAAGATAATATTATTTAATCTTTAATAATAGTTGTAAGGTATGAACAATTGAGTATTTGGGAGCATTCATTAGGCCTTTTAGATGATGTAATAAAATTAAGATCAGCTTGGTGAGAAATATTTTCAATACATTTCTTAAAAAGGATGACATAATATTTGTGATTAAGTTTTTATTTATGTGGGCTATGTAGACAATACTAATAATAGAAAGTCATATCATAGAACATTTAATGTTATTTATTTGTTGCTAGTTACTTTCTTAATTAATTCTTTGAAATACACAATTGAATATTTTTTGTTTAGTTTAATTTTTGGACACTATCAAAAGAAGAACTGCAAAATTCTTCCATAGTTGTTTGGAATAAATGGATAGAAGTAGTGACTAAAAAAATGTTTAATGGTTTAAAAGGAAATATTTTTCCAATTACACTTGGAGAACAATTATCTACAATTCCGGTATAATAGAAAAAACTAATGTTATAACTATAACTTTATATTACATGGTGTTTTGTTTTTAGAAGTGGGACATCTTGGATATAGAAGTAGAGAAAGAAAGTGGAGAACTAGTTGTGTCCAAATTACAAGTTCCAAATCAACCTACATTTCCATTACAAAACTTTATTCACAATATGATCAAATGTCTTGCTTCGACATTACCTCCAAAGTAATTATTTTAGACAATAATTTTTTATAAATAAATTTTTGTTTAATATTATTTAATTTAGATTTGTTCAAGAAAAAACTATTGCTTTGTGTATCGAATGGATATTTATTGAATATCGTAATAATAGTGTGCTTGAGACATCCTTGAAATCTAGATATCAGATACAAAAGTTATTTGACCTCAAGTACATCAATCAACTTTTTGTTGGCATTGAGAACCAAGTAACCCTAACAATATAAATCACGAGAACTTGTAATATATTAATAAAAAAAATGTATATGTGTAGAGTTTATCAGCTATCTGTTCAGAGCAAATATCATCAGTTGAAAATCAAATCGATCCAATCAATTTAGATGTTTTGGATGAATACATTATTAAAAATGTTAAACGTGCTGTTGCTGCTACTAAAGTAATAACATAATATAAAGCTTAAATTTAAAAAACCACGAAAAAGATTATAAAATGTTTTTTTTTTTTTTTTGTAGTGTATTTTTGGTACCATGTATCCTAGTCAGTTTTTACAGTCAGAATCTTCAGATGAAGCAAATAACTTGATGTTTAGCACTTACAGATTTAAATTATTTTTAGTCACAGATTCATAAGTTACAATAATATTTTTGCATTATAATCTTAATTTATTCCTTAATATACATAAATAATATGTAAAAGTTAAATATTTGTTATTTTAATTATAAATACATTTATTTTATAAAATACCAATTGTCATTTTTATTTTTTTTATTACTAAAACTGTGATGAAATTAAGTACCTTCTTAAATAGTTTAATTTCTGAAGAATTTTTAAACATAAAAATGTATTGGACGATAATACTAATTTTCCTAATTTAGTATCATTAGAAGTATACAGTTTTTGAACTGTTAGTTAATAAAGTTAAAATGATATTAGTCATTTGAAATTAAATGTTACATTGTAAAATTGAAAAATAAAGATAGAATAGAACGGAACAACTGTGATAAATACAGCAACCACTAAGGTCTTAATGTTTTTGAAGCTACTGTCAATTAGTGTACGTACATAATGGAAAATGTACAGGAGAGTGCCCTTCCTATGACTGATAGTGTACCAAATTTTATTGGGAAAAATTAAATATTTATTTAGTGGTTAAAACATATTGGTGGTGATTATGTATTTCTTTTTTGATCAACTTATTGAGTGTAAAAGTTTATATTTTATTTAGATGTGTATCTACATGAGAATTAATTGTGAAATTTCTTAGAAATCATGTATGAATTTAATTAACAGTTTAAATCCAAAAATATTTAGTATTTCAAAAATTAAAAATATTGGAGATTGTATTATTGTTGTATATTTGTGCACCAATGTGTGTACAAAAGTACATCAGTAATTTCATGTACTACATATGTAACATTTTTTGGGTTGAATGATACTAATGGTGAAAAATGGTAATTATTAGGTAAACCATTGATGGTAGATATTACCTTTAATTAATGGATATACATTAAAAATAACTCCTATTTTAATCGGAATATTCATTATAACTTTAAGTTTTTAAATGTTAAGATAGAAGGTATGTTTAATGTTTAACATTTGTAAATTTTAAATAAATTAATCTATATTACTATAGT